TGTCCTTGTCGGTTCATAGAAGGAGATGCGTTCAGAGAGGTAAGTAGGGCCAGAACCATTTAGGGCTTTATAGGCTAACGCCAGCACTTTGAATTGTGCCTGGTAGCAAACTGGCAGCCAGTGGAGCTGGCGCAACAGAGGAGTTGTATGCTCCCTGAGTGCCCCCTTCGGCTTATATTCGAGCCAAGCAGTGGTGGGCTCCATTGCCACACTGCTGTCACCCATTCTTCCACCACCCAGCCTTGTCTTTCCCTCCCTAGCCTCCTCCTCCTCGTGCTTTCCCTGCACAAAGGCAGAATGAAGGGGGTTCGGCTAGATCAGTGGTTCTCAACCTGGGGTCCCCAGATGTTTTGGCCTGCAACTCCCAGGAATCCTAACAGCTGGTAAACTGGATGGGATTTCTGGGAGTTGTAGGCCAAAAACATCTAGGGACCCCAGGTTGAGAACCACTGGACTAGATGATCTTTAGAGGTCTCTTCCAAGTCTGTTAATATTATTAATTTTAATATTATTAAACCTGGATGGACATCATCCGTTGGGGGTGCTTTGATTGTGCTTTTCCCGCAGAGAGGCAGAATGATCTTTAGAGGTCCCTTCCAACTCTGTTATTATTATTAATTTTATTTATTTATTTATTTATTTATTACTGTGCTTGTATACCGCCGTTTCTCAGCCTAAATTGGCGACTCAACGCGGTTTACAACAGTACAACAACAACAATATTCAATTTAAAACCATAAAAAAACAACATACACAATAGACAATATTGGCCCGTCGATAATAATCCAGTGCATCTCTTAACTAAAATCATAATCCAATTTCATCGTCCATATTACCAATCCTTTAGTCATCAATTCATTGTACCGAATTAGCCAAATGCCTGTTTGAACAATTTTAGTATTATTAAGCCTGGTTGGCCATCATCTGTTGGTGGTGTTGACGGAGGAGGACCTTAATAGTAGAGCGGGGAGAGTGGCGGGGGCCGCGGGGAATGCGGAGTCATCTTAAACGGCGAGTATATCTCTAACTCTGTATTTTGTCTTGAAAAGTTGGGGTCGTCTTATACCCCCAGTCGTCTTATATCCAAATGACCAAGCTGACAAATAGCAGCAGAGGAGGAAATAATGAAGAATTTGCAAACAAATAGAGGCTGGTACTTGAGTATTTGGAAAAGAAGACAAATGTAAACTTGAAGATTGCCATAAAGGGGATTCAGTGAAAGAAGACATTTGGGTAGTTGTTGGTTAGTTGTGTGATCCTTTTTTGAGGGGCTTCGGAGGTCATGGGGTGGAGTTCACGGGTGTGGGGATAAAGGGTTAAGAAATGTTAATGGTATAAATAATTGTACAACCAAATCTGATTGTTCATATGTTTAATGAGCACTGAATATTCACTCTTTTGTAAATCTTTTGCATATTTTTTTCTTTTTTCTTTTTTTTCTTTTGTTCATCTGTTTTGTTTCCTACATACACTATAAGACAATTAAAAAATTAAAAAAGAGTCTTCCTCCAGGGGCAAATCAAGAATGGGCAACTTGGAAGTCCCTGAATAGACTCAAAAGAGGAGTGGGTAGATCAAAAGACAACCTGGCAAAATGGCACTACCTAAAAGAATCCCACACCTTGTGTGACTGTGGAGCAGAACAGACAACTCTGCATCTGTATGCTTGTCCACTGTGCCCTTCCTCATGTACAGAGAAGGAATTGTTGGAGGCTACAGACAATGCTATTGCCCATTTTTGGTCAAAAAATAATTAGCCGCCCGCGCGCCTTCCATTTTTATCAATTTTATACTAATTTATGCAATGCTTTTGATCTATATAAATAAAAATGTAATGTTCGTTTGTGGAGTTAACATAACTCAAAAACCACTGGACGAATTGACACCAAATTTGGACACAAGACACCTAACAATACAATGTATGTCCTTCACTCAAAAAAATTGGTTTTGTCATTTGGGAGTTGTAGTTGCTGGGATTTATGGTTCACCTACAATCAAATAGCATTCTGAACTCCACCAACGATAGAATTGAATCAAACTTGGCACACAGTTCTCCCATGACCAACAGAAAATACTGGAAGGTTTTGGTGGGCAGTGTCCTTTGGTTTTGGAGTTGTAGTTCACCTACATCCAGAGATCACTGTGCACTCAAACAATGATGGATCTGGATCAAACTCTACACAAATACTCAATATGCCCAAATGAGAACACTGGGGGTGTTTGGGGGAAATAGAATCTTGACATTTGGGAGTTGTAGTTGCTTTGATTTATAGTTCACCTAAAATCGGAGAGCATTCTGAACCCCACCAACGATGGAATTGAACCAAACTTGGCACACAGTTCTCCCATAACCAACAGAAAATACTGGAAGGTTTTGGTGTGCAGTGTCCTTTGGTTTTGGAGTTGTAGCTCATCTACATCCAGAGATCATCCAGGATTCAAACAATGATGGATCTGGACCAAACTCTAAACGAAAACTCAATATGCCCAAATGAGAACACTGGGGGAGTTTGGGGAAAATAGAATCTTGACATTTAGGAGTTGTAGTTGCTGGGATTTATAGTTCACCTACAATCACAGAGCATTCTGAACCCCACCAACGATAGAATTGGGCCAAACCTCCCACAAAGAACCCCCATGTGGACCACAGCAATGCATGGCAGGGGATGGCTAGTAAGAAATAAATAAACAGTAAAATTAAGATAGTTGTATAATTTTTTTGTCGTGTCAGGAGCGACTTGAGAAACTGCAAGTTGCTTCTGGTGTGAGAGAATTTGCCGTCTGCAAGGACGTTGCCCAGGGGATGACGATGATTTGATGTTTTTATTATCCTTGTGGGAGGCTTCTCTCATGTCCCCGCATGGGGAGCTGGAGCTGATAGAGGGAGCTCATCCGCCTCTCCCCGGATTCGAACCTGTGACCTGTCGGTCTTCAGTCCTGCCGGCACAAGGGTTTAACCCACTGCGCCACCGGGGGCTCCTAGTTGTATAATGAGACAAAAGGGCAACCTATTACGTGGGAAAGGAAATTTACTGCTCAAAAGAAAGCTTCACTGGGTTCATGGGGCTTATTACCAGAACAGTGTGTATGGAATTGTGGCTTCATATTACAGGTTAGTTACATGGGTTACAACATTCATAAGTATGTTTGGATGTGTAAGTTAAACAGTACATCATGGTCAGAAAAAATTTGCATCTCTATATGATTTAGCAACAAAAGCCTGAAATAATATGTCTACAAAATAGATACGTGGAAAGCATGTTGTCATAATCTGTGGTTCAATTTTGCCACCGTAGGAACAAGCAGTGGTGCATTGCCATTTTTCAAAACCCAATTATTCTCAGTAGAAGTGACAGCGAATGTGAGTCCAGGGTCAATTTTTCATCCATGAAACAAGCATGCATATAACTTGATTCTACAGGATGGAAAACGAATCCCAATTCATCTATTGTTGTTGCTTTTCTCATCAACGTTATTACTGTTATTATTATCGCCTAACATCCTGTTAGCAGAAGAAGCCTATATCTCTGCAGCATTTGTCATTGAATAATATTCCTTTGGAAGGTTGCTAAATGAATGGCGTATAAAAGGATCATCTTAAAGTTGTATAAATGCATTTACTCTCTCGCTTTTTGTTTTCAGTGGGCAGATTTGTGCCAGAGATTCTAACGAATTCTCTGAACTGTAGATGGCTCATTGGACTGGAAATAGCCTCCAGTGTCTCTCAGGAATGGTTCAGATCTTGTTGAGGAACAGCACCGCAGTGAAGTGCAGCAGCATCATAGCAGCAAGTTCAATAGCAAACAGCTCGATAGTAATAAGATTGAACAGCAGAGCTCCCTCTTACTTAGGGTGACCAACTTTCAGCTGGGAATTTAAGAGATATTTAGTCTTGACAAATTCTGCTCATTTTGAGCAGTGTGACATCACTCCAGAAAAATCTTGTGGAATGGGATAATATTAAACAAAAGAATGTATTATTTATTGTCTGTCAGTGAAAACCTTCTATATCTATAAAATGGAAAAGGGCGTCGTAAGGCGCCACAAAATGCGAAAACCCCTGTACGAAAAAACACCAAACTTGGCCGACGCATACCTCAAACCACAAGGTATGCACAACACTCATCACAACACAAAAAAACATTACAACAAACTCACCATCACAAAAAGAAATAGAGCATGCACAGAGGCGTCCCGGCATGAGCCGTCCGGCGCACACACATGGCCGGACCACACCCCCTCCGTGCATATGCCACCCTTCCCTCCTCCCCTCCTCCCCCTCCTCCTCCTCCGCCGCCCACACCCCCTCCAACAAAGCCATGCCCCCACCCACTGCTGAGCTGCCCCTACCCACCCATATGCCATCCTTCCCTCCTCCCCTCCTCCTCCTCCGCCCCCTCCGACAAAGCCACGCCCCACCCACCACCCCGCCCCTACCCGCCCATATGCCATCCTTCCCCCTCCCCTCCTCCTCCCCCACCCATGCCCCCTCCAACAAAGCCACCCCCCACCCACCACCGCCCCGCCCCTACCCGCCCATACGCCATCCTTCTTTCCTCCTCTTCCTCCGCCCCATGCCCCCTCCAACAAAGCCTGCCCCCACCCTGCCGCCCTGCCCCTACCCACTCATACGCCATCCTCCCTCCTCCCTCCTCCCCCCTCCGCCCCTCTGAGACAGCCACGCCCCCACCCTCTGCCGCCCCGCCCCTACCTGCCTTACGCCATCCTTCTTTCCTCCTCCTCTGCCTCCCATGCCCCCTCCGACAAAGCCACGCCCCCTCCCTTCACCACCCCGCCCCTTCCCGCACTGACACAATCCTTCCCTCCTGCCCCTCCTCCTCCGCTGGTCACGCCCCTTCCCAGGAAACCATGCCCCCTCCAATCCCCGCCCCGTCCCTTCCCGCCCTGACCCAATCCATTCCTCCTCCCCCCCACCAAAGAAGGAAGGAAGAGGACAAAAGGAGGAAAGGAGAGAAACAGGGAGGGAAAAGAGAAGGAAAGGGAGAAGGAAGGAAGGAATGAGGTAGAAAAGGAAGAAAGGAGAGAAAGAGGGAGGGAAGAAAGAAGGAAGGAAGGAATGAGGTAGAAAAGGAAGAAAGGAGAGAAAGAGGGAGGGAAAGAAAGAAGGAAGGAAGGAATGAGGTAGAAAAGGAAGAAAGGAGAGAAAGAGGGAGGGAAAGAAAGAAGGAAAGGGAGAAGGAAGGAAGGAATGAGGTAGAAAAGGAAGAAAGGAGAGAAAGAGGGAGGGAAAGAAAGAAGGAAGGAAGAGGTAGAAAAGGAAGAAAGGAGAGAAAGAGGGAGGGAAAGAAAGAAGGAAGGAAGGAATGAGGTAGAAAAGGAAGAAAGGAGAGAAAGAGGGAGGGAAAGAAAGAAGGAAATGGAGAAGGAAGGAAGGAATGAGGTAGAAAAGGAAGAAAGGAGAGAAAGAGGAAGGGAAAGAAAAAGGGGGAGGAAGGAAAGTTAAAGAAGGAAGGAAGGAGAGAAGGAAAGAAAAAAGGGAAAGAAGGAAGTAAAGAAGGAGCGAAGGAAGGGGGGAAGATGTAGAGAAAGAGGGAGGGAAGGAAAGATGGAAAGAGAGAAGGAAGAAAAGAGAGGCAGCAGAAGAGAAAAAGGAAGAAGGAAGGAAAGAGGGAATGAAGGAAGGGGATAAGATGTAGAGAAAGAGGGAGGGAAGGAAAGGAGGAAAGAGAGAAGGAAGAAAAGAGAGACAGCAGAAGAGAAAGAAAAAGGGGGAAGGAAGGAAAACGATATAGAAGGAAGGAAGGAGAGAAGGAAAGACGGGAAGGAAGGGAGGAAGGAAACAGGGAGTGAAGGAAGGAGGGAAAGAAGGGAAGATAGGGGGAAGGTTGGCCACAGCAACGCGTGGTGGGTACAGCTAGTTTTTTTATAAAAGGAGCCGAGCAACTGCACTCTTCTTTTCCTCCTTTTCCTCTACCTAGCTGCATCAGCATTGGGAGGGTGGGAAAAACACAGACATTCAGAGTCAGGTGGCAGCAGCATTGTCTGCAAGGTACATTCCAATATAACGTGAAGTGGGAAAGAATGGCTTACCTGACCTGCGGAAGTGTGCTGGGCCCATAACTGAATTGTCAGAGTTTGGCGGTGCACAGCAGAAGGATTGCTAGATCAGCAGACACTGTGTTGCAAAATAAGGTCTCTTCAGACTTTGAGTTACAAAAGAAACCAAGTTTTACTAAGCACATTCAATAGACACGTCTTACTACAGCGAGCTACAATTCAGGAACTAGTCAAAACGAAAGTCTCTTCACATCTGCTTATCTCTTCTCTTCTTGCTGAGACTGGCTACTCCCTTCTGTTCCCAGCAAGAGCAAACCTTATCTTACTTTTCTCAAGGTTACATAATCACAGCCTCATGGTATGAACATTCTGCACAGCATTTCTAATACACAGTGGAATCCATCTTGGAAATACATAGAAGCACATTTAAAATACATACATAACTAAATTAATCTTGACAGATGTTTCATTTCATATATACACATTAGGACTGTGTGATCGATGAAAAACAGTTTCAAAACTCATTACAAAATTAGGGGCCACCAGCTTTTTGTTTCTAAAGTATTTCTAAAGTATAGTTAGTGAAAATTCCATTACTATAATGAAGGTAACAAAATAATGTTACTTTTTCATTATAGTAATTGTACAAGTGGGAAAACCTTAGGGCAGGCATGGGCAAACTTTAGCCCTCCAGGTGTTTTGGACTTCAACTCCAACAATTCCTAACAGTCAATGACCAAGTTTGCACTAAAATACTTACCAGAAGTGCAGGAACATTGTGGAGACACCCAGGAGTGAACTCAAGGTGTAGATGAGCCCATAGTCTGGTCTCTGAAGTTCCAGTCGGCACTCAGCCTCATACACCTCACTGATTTATCTCACACTCGTAACCTTGGTTTGTGCTGTAGACCAAATTCAAGCTACTCCCTGTAAATCTGAAATGAAACTAACATGCTGAAGTATTGAGTAATATTTTATTAATGTCAATAAGAGTTTCATACACATGGAGAGAGAATAAAATAGATTAGTCATGCCAGACTAATCTGATTTCTTTTTTCGATAGAGTTACAAGCTGGGTAGATGCGAGGAATGCCGTGGATGTAGCGTACCTGGATTTCAGTCAGGCCTTCGACAAGGTCCCCCATGACCTTCTGGCAAATAAACTAGTCCAATGTGGGCTAGGCAAAATTACGGTGAAGTGGATCAGTAATTGGTTAAATGGACGAACCCAGAGGGTGCTCACCAATGCTTCCTCTTCATCTTGGAAAG